TCTGCGTACCATCCAGAGACAGACGGACGGACCGAGCGTGTGAACCAGACCTTGGAGCAGATCCTTCGCAGCATCACGATGCACGATGCAGACGCATGGGACAAGAAGCTGAGCATGGCCGAGTTCGCCTACAACAACACGCACCACTCGTCCATAGGCATGTCACCGTTCTTCGCACTGTACGGTCAACACCCTAATGTCCCCACTCGTGTCGATCCCACACCCGCTGTCCCTCGTGCGAACAACTTCCTCCAGCATCTCACCTTCATTCATGACCACGTGAGGAAGCACCTTGAGCTCGCAAATGCACGCATGGCACGCACCACCAACCGCAGTCGTCGTGAGGTGTCGTTTGCAGTCGGTGATCGTGTCCTTTTGGATAGCCGTAACCTTTGACTGTCACAGGACAGCAAGCTTCGTCCACGCTTCATTGGTCCATTCGTCATTAAGCGCGCACTAGGTCGAGTCGCATACCGCCTCCGTCTTCCCGCTCAGTTCCGCATGCACCCGTCATTCCACGTGTCTCTCATTCGTCCATACACCGATCCCAACGCCACCTTCTCGGGCCGTGATCGCACTCCACTGCCGGTAGCTGTTGACACTGACGATCCCGACTACCAGATCCAGCGCATCCTCAGGCACCGTCGCCGTCTCCAGGGGGGTGTCTCTTTCATCGACTTTTTGGTTCGTTTGCGTGGTTACGATGCAGCCTACGACAGCTGGGTTCTTTCGTCCTCGCTGTCTCCCGACAACGCTTGCCTCCAAGCGTACCTTCAGTCTGCAGGCGCCGCGGACGTCGCCTCCTTGGGAGCGGGGTAGTGTTAGAGGGGGTTTTACTATTCACTTTGCACAGTAACTCCCAACCCAATCCTTATCCTTATCTTCTTTGATTTCCTAGTGCCCACGTATCACTCTACTTCTTTAGTCCCACGAAGTACTTTCCATCATTCGATCATGCATGCTATATCAACCTTGCTTGTATTCTCCAATATCAACCAATTCTTATTTAACCATTACTCAGTTACTTCTTTGCAAATTTCGCTAATACTTCTTTCGCCAAAGTATTCCGCCGCGTTTTCATCCTCTACTTAGTCGACCCTGCTAATCTTTAGCGGATTTAGGCCAAGGGGCCTAACAATAAATATAGTTTGACATTGTAGGTTTCTCTCTACATCTAGTTACATCTAGTTACTTTTTGTGAGACTGATGGGAAAAGGTAAGCATCGCTGTAGTCTTCTTCGTGTAGCGTCTTATAAGTTTCACTATTAGGCAAGAGGTCCAATTGAGTCTGTCGCGAATTTCTTTTGGGTCGAGTCGCGAATTCGGTTGTTGTTGATGGGAAAAGATCATACAGGGGCCGAACAGTGCCAGAGGGGTGATCAAAGTAGGGCCGGAAAATCGCGACCGTAGGATTTCAACCCGGAGCTGACCAAACGACTCGGCGAACAAGCCGAACCATGAGTCCAAGAAAATTGCGAAACAAAACCAGACTTTGTGATCGTATTATTTATTGAGGGTTTTGACCGCCGTCTACTACAGCGCGCGCGTCGCCTTTTTCTGGAATTGACTTCGGCGTGTCAAATCGTGAGTATGTAACAGCATAATATATTCTGGGTGATACCTATCACCTACCCGATCGGAAACCACAAGAAAAAATATATCACCCATTCGGAAAAGGATGCGACTCGGGAGGGATCAACCCTAAATACCAGGAAGGTTTCCTTTTTAGGGTTGATCCATCCCGAAATTGCATCCAGGTTCGCTATGAGTTTTAGTTGTTTTTGCTGCCCTAGAGTTCCCGGTAGAGTTGGCTCGCTAAACGACACGCGAGCGAAAATGCGAGCCGGTACATGCCACTAGTAACGTAATTACGTGCAATAAATGAAAACCCTCTGTTAATCCCTCCACGCGAAGCGGTTTGGTAAGTTCTGGGCCTCTCGGCCCCTGTTTGATCACCCCTCTGGCACTGTTCGGCCCCTGTATGATCTTTTCCCGTTGTTGATTACAACAACCGCATTCGGTCGCGAATTCGGTTGTACCAGCTAAGACCGCTCTGAACCAGGGCGATTATCAACAAACCCGAGGGAAACACCTTCAAACTCCTTCCCTGCCACTGCTCAATATGGAACGTTCAACAAAGCGCGTCTCTCACCATTATTTCAACTCGCACCGAGGCATGCCATCTCGCCCTGAGCCTTCCTGCCCAAGTACATATGCATATAATTGTGAAGTGGCTGGCGCTCCGCGCGACGTCGCTCCACAGCCGTGTCGCGACACCCATGGATCGACCTTCACATCGTCGGCGGGACGGCCCGGGCTATGCTGCAATCAGTTTAAAACGATACGGCCATGCTGACACACATCATTCTTTCACCCTCTGCATTCGCAAATTGAGCGGTGATCCTGAAATTCCAACTACTACTACTAGTACCACTGCCGTCATCATAACTCTTCCCGAAACCCAGCCATGGCAAATCTTATGAATCGCTCATTTCTGCGGATCTTTCTTTCGCTGATGCCCCCGCATTCGCCGGCCCGAAGCACCTCGCTCGCACGCGTCAGGCGCACGACAATTACCGCCCTCAGCGACAGCTGAGCGACCGTGAACGAAAGCTGACAGACATCGTGGAGCGCGGCGATCGCCCTCCTCTGCACCTGGTGGAAACAAAAGCCGCTTTCCTCAAGGATCAGCGCGAGCAAGGCGGCAAATAATCGACCACGCCGATTCAGTACTGGGGAGGTCCCGTGTTGAACGGCGAGACGTTGAACATTTACGTGATCTACTATGGCTTCTGGCCAGCGGGAGTCGGGCAGAATCTGATCGAGAATTTCATTCGGTCGTTGAGCTTAGGAGGCGCGGACGCGCAGGGACAGGCCGGGGATCAGACGGTGAGCAACTGGTGGGCGACGAGCACAAAGTACTACTCCGAAACGACTGGCACGACCACGACCGTCAGCTCAGAGGTGTGTTGGTGTCAAATTCTGGGCAGTCGTGAAAAGGTGAATATGGGGGGGATAAAAAAGTACCTTCAGGCCATTCTGGTGGCACGGGAGCATCGGCAAGCAGTGTAGCTCGGAGGTGCGTCAGGAAGTTCCAGATATCGCTTCGAAGTCGAGTTTGAAGAATCAACGCTTGACTAGCTGAGAGCTTGCAAATCCTTGCGACATTGTTCTGAATCTTCTATTTTAAGCCCATCGTCCATCTTCCCGGGTGAACCTCGCGAAAGTTATCCACGACAAAGGGTCGCGCGGGAGAAATTTTGGCGAAAACACGCCCTGGGAAGGTGCGTACCGACTTTTTAAAACGGGATTGTCTTCCTTCGATTCAATCCTATCCCCGTTCGTTTTCCGACATTGCGGCATCCTCGACACGAGTCAGTTAGTTGTCTCAAGCGGTTCTAATCTCTCGCTCCTCATCTTATCACAGTTGTCAAGAGCAAGATCGGCGACGGATTGCCGTTCCCCTACGACGCCAATGGCATCTACCTGCTTCTCACCAGCAAGGACGTGAAAGTCCCTGGCTTTTGCACAGAATACTGCGGGTATCACACTATGGATTATATCGATACGGACGCTGTCGCGTATTCCCTCGTGGGTCACCACGGCAAGTGCCCTCAAAACTGCGGGGGGCAGAGGTTTTCGCCCAACGCGAATCCTGCGATTGACGCGACGATTTCGACAATCGCTCACGAGATTGCGGAAGCTGCGACGGATCCCGACGCGTCGACCGGCTGGCTCGATGCGGATAAGGAGGAAAACGCCGATAAGTGCAGCTACACTTACGGGAAGACCAAGTCAGTTCACAACAAAAAAGGCAAGAACGCGAAGTACAATCTCGTGGGGCTCAACAAAATGAAGTTCCTGGTGCAGCAGAACTGGGACTTCGGGACGGACGCGTGCGTATCGCAGGCGCCCGAATAGGGGGATCGTGATTTGACTGAAGCTCTGGGGTGAAGGTGACAAGAAGAAATGCGCGCGCGACGGGAAGGGAACCGGCGGGAGGTACGGCTGCAGTAACATGCATCCTCGATGCCTGCAGCAAGAAAGGCTAAGCTAATAAGACTCGCTGGAGTCGTAGCAGCAGTGCACAAACAACTTAGTGCCTGAAGTTGGTGTGCGAGAGTAGTCACCAAGGGGGGTTCGGGCATGTCTGAATTTATGATCCGAAATAAAAATCCTGATTTTGTGTTCCGACTTGTGACTCGTGATTTGGGGAGAGGCGTTGGTTGGTGCGTCTACCACAAGGTTGGGGAATGGATTGTGTGAGAGAGATTACGGTTCCCCATGACCACCCCCACCACCACCTTTCCGTACATAATAGAGCCCGCCCGGGTATCCGCATTATTGTGCACATTATATTACACTATCACCTTTGTGAGTAGTACTAAAGTGTCAAAAGGTGAGTACGTACGGTAGTTTGCTATGTTCTCATTCTGGAGCCTGGAAGCAGCCACAAGCCAGATGCGTTTTGAAATGCCCGCCATTATTCTCATTGAAAATTTTAATCAAGGCGCAACAGAAGGGCCTTTGGTCACGTTCATCTGTTGTTTGCTATACTTGTTGACGGGGCAAGTCGGGTTCCGACCAAAGATTTCATCCACAAGCCGGACTTCTCGGCGCTCAAAGAACCAATCGGCTACAGCTTGAGCCATGGACTGCACACAAACACCACCCAAACAGAAAAAACCATCAATTTCCTGTGGAAGATCAACTGAGTGAGCATGCATGGATGTTCTGTACAGCATTCATAAAGAATGGGAAGGTTACGTGAAAGGTGCACTAGAAAGTAGATGCGGGAGGCAGCAACTGCATCTATTGAAACATGAACGGCAACGAAACACGAGCACAGACGGGTACACAAGAAGGGCAGATAGCTCACTTGGTTTGATAACAATGGCCCTCGAGTCCCATGCCATGACTCCCAGAGCGCCTGCAGAGAGAGAAACAAGGAGAGTGGAATCAAAGGCAGGAGAGGGAGGTACGGTGACTTTTGAGGCGCCTTAGAAGTTGAGACCCATGCCATGACTCCCAGAGCGCCTGCAGAAAGAGAAACAAGGAGAGTGGAATCAAAGGCAGGAGAGGGAGGTACGGCGACTTTTGAGGCGCCTTAAAAGTTGAGACCCATGCCATGACACCCAGAGCGCCTGCAGAGAAAGAAACAAGGAGAGTCGAATCAATGGCAGGAGAGGGAGGTGCGGTGCAAGGAAGGATGTTTTGGAGAGGAGGGGGGGAAGCATGGGGAGGAAGGGCCAGGGAGAGGTGGGAGGGGGGTCAGGGGGTTTGTATGTCGACGCATGAGAGGGAGAGAGACATCCGGCAGTGGCAGATACGCTATTCCATGCCTGGGCATGATGCAGCATCAACAACCTGCTGGCCGGCCAATCATCAGCCACATGATCATGTGTGCATGTGACATACCGAGGTGTGCATGCAACATACCATGTTATTCATGCAACATACCATGTTATTCATGCAACATACCATGTTTTTCATGCAACATACCATGTTATTCATGCAACATACCATGGTGTGCATGCAACATACCATGGTGGGCATGCAACGTACCATGGTGGGCATGCAACGTACCATGGTGGGCATGCAACGTACCATGGTGGGCATGCAACGTACCATGGTGTGCATGCAACGTACCATGGTGTGCATGCAACGTACCATGGTGTGCATGCAACGTACCATGGTGTGCATGCAACGTACCATGGTGTGCATGCAACGTACCATGGTGTGCATGCAACGTACCATGGTGTGCATGCAACGTACCATGGTGTGCATGCAACGTACCATGGTGTGCATGCAACGTACCATGGTGTGCATGCAACGTACCATGGTGTGCATGCAACGTACCATGGTGTGCATGCAACGTACCATGGTGTGCATGCAACGTACCATGGTGTGCATGCAACGTACCATGGTGTGCATGCAACGTACCATGGTGTGCATGTGACACGAGGCGAGAAAGAAACCATGCGGGCAGCGCTTCACTGAAACAAGGCCGCCTTTTCCCCCTTTCCCCCCTGTTGCCCCTCCCCCACCATGTAGCCACCACTGCAGCCATCTACTGCCGCTGCCCCACTCTTGCCCTGCCTGCTCTCCTGCTGCCGCCCCTGCTGCCTGCCACAGGTTCGGCACCGAAGACAAGACCCGAGCCTGCATCAGAGGCTGGAGCTTCTTCACCATTTCGGCTCGGTAGGCTGCGGGCGACAAGGGGAGGTTGTGAAGGCAAAGGTTAGCAATAAATACACACGCACACACACACACATATATATATGATATATAACATATAAATTCAAGATAGACGAATACAACTCCTGAAATTTCCGCACCACTCATCCACCAGACAGACAACACTGTGGATGTTGAAAGGCGAAATATGAATCACAGGAGGTAGACAAGGCAGATGCGCACGCAAGGCATCCAGGCTTGAAGCTTCTTCTGGAGTAGAAAAGAACATCGAAAGAATCGGATCTCAAACCCACCCTCTCAATCAAATCGTTCCTTGCGACACGCCCACTTGCACAAACACTTACTGTGGAATTTCCGAAGCAGTTGTCCCGGGGGTAATCCCTCAAGTGACAAGCGACAATCGTCCCAGAGCTGGGAGGTGAAGAAATTTTGAGGCGCGCGCATGGCAAGTGTGCATGTTCAAGACAACCGGCAATCGTCCCAGTGCTGGGATTTGATTTGAAGGACTTTTGTTTCAGGAGCCTAAAGAGTCTGCTGGTTCAAGCAACACTCACTGTGAAATAACTTTTGAGGCGCCTCAAAACTCTAGAGTCTGCTGGTCCAAGCAACACTCATTGTGGAATTTCCGAAGTAGCTGTCCGAGGCAGTCGTCAGTGCCAGCCGGCAATCGTCCCAGTGCTGGGATTTGAAGGACCTTTGAGGCGCCTCAATCAAGTGACTGCTTGTTCAAGCACAACCACTCACTGTGGAATTTCCGAAGTAGCTGTCCGGGGCAGTCCGTCAGTGCCAGCCGGCAATCGTCCCAGTGCTGGGATTTGAAGGACCTTTGAGGCGCCTCAATCAAGTGACTGCTTGTTCAAGCACAACCACTCACTGTGGAATTTCCGAAGTAGCTGTCCGGGGCAGTCCGTCAGTGCCAGCCGGCAATCGTCCCAGTGCTGGGATTTGAAGGACCTTTGAGGCGCCTCAATCAAGTGACTGCTTGTTCAAGCACAACCACTCACTGTGGAATTTCCGAAGTAGCTGTCCGGGGCAGTCCGTCAGTGCCAGCCGGCAATCGTCCCAGTGCTGGGATTTGAAGGACCTTTGAGGCGCCTCAATCAAGTGACTGCTTGTTCAAGCACAACCACTCACTGTGGAATTTCCGAAGTAGCTGTCCGGGGCAGTCCGTCAGTGCCAACCGGCAATCGTCCCAGTGCTGGGATTTGAAGGACGCTGGGACGGCGAAAGAATAGTTCATCTGATCAGCAAGTGATACGTACACAAGGGTCGGGAAAGGAGGGGTTGACAGGGTTGTGAAGGAGGGGTTGGGCAGGGTTGAAAATCAAGGTGTTTGGCAGGGTTAGGGAAAGGGTGGTTGGCAATCTCTTTGTGACTGCCGACAAAACATATCGCCCGCCTTGTCCTTTGAGGGTGGTTAGCGCCTTGTCCTTTGAGTCGCAAGGTATATACACTTTCTCGAGTCGCTTAAAAGCCGCCGCATTTCATGTCCTTTGGGGGGGAGCCTTTGCGGCGTATTTTTGAGAATTCACAAAAGGTACAGCTCTCGTTTGAGAAAGAAACGGCGCTCGAGGGGCGCAGAAGAGGTGCACGGAGTTAGGTTTGGCTGGCATGGCAGAATTTTGACTCGACTCAAAAGATGGCGGCGGGGCGATATTTGGGTCACTTTCTTTTAGAAAGTGACCGTAATACAGAGCAACGAATGGCCTGGACATATTTCATCAATCAACGTACGGAGCAGAGAATCTTTCAAAGTGAAGGCTCGTTATCGATAATGAGGGGGGCTACTTGTAAGTGGGAGGGAGGGAGGGAGGGAGGGAGGGAGGGAGGGAGGGAGGGAGGGAGGGAGGGAGGGAAGGAGGGAGGGAGGGAGGGAGGGAGGGAGGGAAGGGGGGGGGAGAGGGGGGGGGTTGCTACCGATAAAGAGGGGGATCTGCTGCAACAGAAAGGGCTATAAAGGAGAGGGTAAGCACTTGAGGCAGCGGGGGGCTATAAAGTCGAGTCAAGAGGAGAGGAGCTAGTTGCCAGGAGTCATAGAGAGAATTGCCGATGTAGAGTGTGGCGTGCTGCAGCGGGGGGCAATAAAAGTGACTCAAGAAGGGCTACTCGGAATGAGAGGGGAAGCATGAGAGGGGAAGAATGAGCAGGGAAGAATGAGCGGGGAAGAATGAGTGGGGAGGGGGTACCGCCGATGAAGAGAGGGGTGTGGTGTGCAGCAACAGCGGGTCAGAGAGCTGACTCGAGAAAGCTATGGGGGACTTTTGAGAGTCAAGTGACGAGAAGGGAGGTGCTGGGAATGAGCGCGGAAGAATGAGTGGGGACGGACGACGGGGAGAGGACAGACAGACCTGCCAGGAGTCATAAAGGGTGTTGCCGATGAAGAGAGGGGTGTGCAGCAGCGGGAGGAAATACTCGGGAAAGAAACACTGCAGTGATGGGGGGGGGGGGGGGGGGTGGGGCGGGGAGAAGGGGAAGAGAAAGAGAGAAGATTTTGAGACACCTCAAGCATGCTGCAAGAAGAAACACTGCAGTGATGGGAGGGCGGGGAGAAGGGGGGGGCGAGAGAGAGCGACTTTTGCGACAGCTCAAGGATGATGCAATGCAAGAAGAACTGCCGAGCCGAGAGAACTTTTGAGTCGAGTCAAAAGTCAGGTCAAGGAGAATGCAAGAAGAAGCACTGCCTGCCGAGAGAGCAGGAAGAAAGAGAGAGAGAGAGCAGTTGGTGTGATGGGAAGTGAAGTATGAGGGGAGGAGAGGAATGCGGAGAAGAGAGGGCAAGGTGGTGAAAAGGAGGAGGAGGGGCCTGATGCAGATTCGAACAGTAATTGGAGGAAGGTACAGGAAGATATTCTGAGGCGCCTAAAAAACAACAGCAGCTGGAAGAAACTGGGTGGTCCGCTTGAGTTGAGAGCGCGTAGGGTGCGACTTTTGAGAATTTCTCGACACCAAGAAAAGTAACACCACGAAAGGACAGGAACATCTCCGAGCTGTTTTATAACTGGGTGGTGCGCTTGAGAGTGAGTAGGGTGCGTGAGCGAGCATGCTTTTTTGGTCAGGAGGTGATTTTTTAGGGCGCCTCAGGAATCACCTCAGAGCGAGCATGCATTACGGGTCATGCGGAAACGAGAAGAAAAGACGAGAGGAAACGAGAAGAGATGAGAAAAGAAAAGAAGAAAAGAGAGGAGAAAAGAAGAGATGAGATGAGAAGAGAGGAGAATGGAGGTGAAGAGAGGAGAAGGGGAGAGAAGAGAGGAGAATACAGGAGAAGAGAGGAGACGGGAGGAAAGAGAGGAGGCGGGAGGGAGGAGGGGAGAAGAGAAGGGCAGGCAGCTTGCCTGCCATCGTTCCGCTGTGCGATTGGTGAGTCGATCCACACAGCCCTCGTGCACTGACACGTTCTGAGAGGTAGGCAGAATGCAACCCAAGAATAAGGTGACAGGTAGGAGAGAGAGTGAAATGCGGTGCAGGGAAGGGAAGGGAAGGGAATCAGGTGAGATGCTTCAAGAGCGGATCCAGACAGACAGCCATCGTGCATTGAGACGACTCAAAACACGATCCAGAGAGAGACAGCCATCGTGCCCCGACGTTCTGAGAGAAGAAAATCCGGTCCGGGGATTACAGTGACAGGTTATGCAGCATTCAGGGATTGAGAAATTGACTCTGAAACTCTTCAAGAGCAGATCCAGAGGGACACCCCTCGTGCCCCGACACGTTCTGAGAGAAGGGAAATAAGGCCCAGGGAACGAGGTGACAGGTTATGAGGCGTGTCAACAACACTTGACTTTGAAACGCCTGGTGCATGGATGGACCGGCAATTTCTGGTAACTGAAAGCACGTGAAATGCGATGGAGGGCATCGAGAGACAGGAAGGAAGGTGAGCAGACAGGAAACCGACAAAAAACATAGGTGATCATGGAGATTCCGTGACCTGTGACTCTGTGACCTGTGACTCTGTGACCTGTGACTCTGTGACCTGTGACTCTGTGACCTGTGACTCTGTGACCTGTGACTCTGTGACCTGTGACTCTGTGAGCTGTGACTCTGTGAGCTGTGACTCTGTGAGCTGTGACTCTGTGAGCTGTGACTCTGTGAGCTGTGACTCTGTGAGCTGTGACTCTGTGAGCTGTGGCTCAGTGAGCTGACTACTAAGGCAAGTAACAAGTTACCGCAAGGCCAGCATCCGCTGAGACCCGTAGAATCTGTACCATCAGCAGTGCAGTCCCCGACTTACCTGTAGCCTGACGACGGCAGAGAATAGCTTTCTCATCTCGTGCTGCCCTCCCACGTCCTTGGTGTCGAGAAACACGCCCCCGTCGCCCATGCACTTTACCACCGGGGGCGGTGGGGAGGAGGAGGAGGAGGGGGAGGAGGACGGGGTGGAGGATGCAGAAGCACCAGCAGCAGCAGCAGCAGGAGCACCAGCAGTACCACCAGCAGCGCCATCAGCAGCAGGAGCAGAAGCAGAGAAGGAGGAGTTTGTTTGTTGGGACTGATCCAGCATTGTTCTGGCGAACCAATCACAGTGCAGGAAGGCTGCCAGTGCACCAGCTGAGCCTCCCCCGAATAGGACATGCGATGCCGCCCGCAGGTTGTGATGCTGCAGGAGATGGTTTACAACGGCCGGCATGATGTGTCTGCCTCTGAAGAAGATGAACGTGTTGGTCCCCTGTGGCAGAGTGCATGAAACGACGGGAAGAGAGGTGGGAGGCACGGCAGGGAGGGAAGAAGGTTGGAGGAGGGTGAGAAGAGAGGTTATCTCGAAAGAATGTGGATAAATAAGCACTGGCATAGTAGAGCCAGCCCGCCCACATTCAGCGCAGCAGCAGCAGTCCCTCCCCCCCACCCCCTACATACACACACAACACACACACCCACCGGTACTTCACTGCGGTAGCTTTTGTTGCCAGAAAAAGAAGCGAGGTGACTTTTGAGTCGACTCAAACTCCCCAATCCACACACACACCCACCGGTACTTTGATGCGGTAGCTCTTGTTGCCAGAGAATGAAGCGCCGTCGCAGTAACGCACCACCACACGGTTCCAACTGAAGAACTCTATAAGGGGACAGCAGGCCGTGCCAGAGAGATGGGAAAGAGGAGCAAGAGATCAGGAGAAAGATTAGATCAAGAGAAAGATTAGGTAAAGAGAAAGATTAGGTCAAGAGAAAGAAGCATCGTGTGTGATGAGCCTATTTCTGAGTCGATTACAAAATAGAGAAAGGGAAAGAGGAGCAAGAGATTGGGAGAAAGTTTAGGTCAAGAGAAAGAAGCATCGTGGAGTGCTGAGACTACTCCCTGTGCTTGTGACCTACCTACTTAGACTCATGCTTACGCGCCACAAGATACGCACTTGTTTGCATATCAGGAGACTCACCAGGGCTAATCATACAATCAGGAGGCTCTCCTCTCCATACAAACAGGAAACTCACCAGGGGTGATCCTAAGATCCTCGCTAGGAGTAATCCTACAATAAGGACACACACCAGGGTTGATTGCAGGGTTGGGAGAGAGAATGCCGATGAACGAATATGGCTGCATTTGATTGGACGAGCCAAGCTTTGTGAGCGATCGGTTGTAGCAATCGTTGATGGAGTCGCACCAGGCGCCACCCTGCCATGCCATGTGCGTGAGTGAGTGAGGGGCAGGGACAGGTGAGTGTGGGATGGGACCTTGAGTCGACTCAGAAGGTTGTCGCAATCGTTGATGGAGTCGCACCAGGCGCCGCCCTGCCATGTGCGTGGGGGGCAGGGAAGAAAGAGCGGGACAGAACAAGGGAGGGAAATAGAAAAATGGGAGGGAGCACTATGTGGATTTTGCGCCTATTCAATCCAAACCTCCTTGAACAACATTGAAACAATCAGTGCGTCCGATAAAAGGCTCCTCCGTACCTCGAGAAAGATGACCCACTTGTTTGTTAGCTCCCTCGCCTGACCCTGCCTGAGAGTGACTCTTGAGGCGCGTCAAAAGAAGCCGCTATACCGTGAGTAGCAATTCACTCGCCATTCCTTACCTCGAGAAAGATGACCCACTTGCTAGCTCCCTCGCCTGACCCTGCCTGGAAATGGAATCCGGGCGGTGTGCCGTCCAGACACACTGTGTTGCCAGTGAAAGAGGAGCGGAGATGGAGAATAACAACGAGAAGGTGATCGGGCAAGGAGAGCGAAACGACAATTTTAATAAGAGAACTGGGAAAACGCAAAAGTTGACTCGGCAAGCACTGGGTCTCCTTGCACATGTTACTTTCCTCACCACTCTCAAACGCTACCCTTCTCTCTAAACCGGCAAGAGCCACTCCAATGACGTATAAAACACTAGGACAGGGTGACTCATGCCAACTCACGCTTCCACATTTACACCAGTGGCACACACGTTACCGTTGGCTACACTGTAGACATCCGGTCAAAGGTGTAACAATGGCGAACGTTCACTAACGTACACACGCGTTTATTTTCCTATTCATTCCCACGGAAATTGGGACCACTTTTGTATTTCCTCAATTGCATACCCGCTAAGCCTCCTAATGTGTCGTTGACGATCGTCACAGGGATCTTCGGCCCCGTTATAGGCACTGCCTTATATCGATTCAATTCAACAAACGGCGCGCTCCCGGCGAGATCGTTTCGGGTGGTGGAGGAGACGAGCATCCAGATGAACGGAAACGCGACGGCGAGCGTGATCTGACGGCTGAACGGTCTTAATCGCGACGCGGCTAATCGCAAGGCGGGAGACACCGCACCCATGTTTGCGGAGATCGAGTGATCTGACGGCTAGAGGGACGTAATTGCGAAACTCGAGTGATCGTACGGCTAAACGGTCGTAGTTTCGAAGCTCGAGTAGGCGTTAACGAGGCTTGACCGAGGTGGAGAAGAATAAGTTACAGCTCCATGGAAGCTTCACAATAGCTTCGTCAGAAGAAGCATGAAACTAGTCGCTGGCCTAACAAATGACGCCGCGAGTCCGTTCCACACTGGATTCGACTACTATGCCGCGAAACGACGGCAGTTCACGTCTCTCGCTGCGAATCGTGGCATTCACCAGTGGCGTGTCGGTATTCTCCTGCATCGCGTGATCAACAGCGTCCCGCTATTTACAGAATTGCATTTAAAATCATGCCCAAACTTCACCATTACACTAGCGTTAGACCGTAGCACGTAGCATGAGCCCAGTGACGAAAACTTGCAAGCCAGTGTGCTGCTGCACAAATCGATGGCTTGGTTTTCAGGTGCTTTCAGTCCCTCCTCCTGAACCATTTCGTGCACTGTCGGTGATCAGTCACAATCACTTTCTGCGTTGAGTTCCATTTTTGTGCGATTCAGTACGGTTTACATGCTCCACCGATTTGAACCGTGACACACCACCCGCCTGGACATTTGATTGATACACACGAGTGGTGATTGATACATCTGTCTGGCCTGAGGGGTGTTCTGACGACGGCACCATCGAGGTTGGTTGGGTTGATCTTTAGAGGGTCGGTGTCATGCGCGAAAAACTTCAACGACACTGGTAAATTTTCGTGCATGTACGCGAGTGGCCAGTGTGCCGGTACTCAGCCTTCGTGAAATTTCGCCAGCGGTGTCACGACTGATTGCAGCCCTCCAGTTTAGCGCAGGTAACTTTGCCCAAGTGCTTCTCAGCTAATGTGCTTTCCAGCTATCTTTTCACAGAAAAACCGATCCTACTATCTGATCATGTCTATTATCGCGTACGATTGGAAGATCATTGCCAGCTTCGTGATAGGAGGATCCATGAAAGCAGTCTTCTACTCTCGTCCCGTTTCGCTTCACGTACTTGCTCCACCAGCCGACCTCTGTTGTTGACCCTTCAGTAACTGCGTAATAACTGCCTAGCAGTGCTGCTCCCAAACAGCCTCGTCCCGTCCAGTGTGCGAACCGTTTCCGTCAAGCCAGTTCCCGCTGCCGGGTCGATTCAAGTCGAGCTCATTGCGTTTTCTCATTCGTCATAAGAGCGTCCCCGTATCGAAAGCTGTAGCGGGCTTGTGTTGTGAAGGTGCTCGTAATGATCATGCACTGATACCGATGGTGTGCTCGTATAGTTCTGAGTTTATCCCATTATCATGGAACCAGCCGCATCTGCTGCTGCAGCGTCTGCTCCAGTAAGCCACCCTCCCCCCTAACCCCGCATGCATCGTACATGCATTTCATCATAAGTGTATCACGCATCCCACGTGGGTATCACGCATCGCACATGGGTATCATGCATCACATCGCACATGGGTATCATGCATCACATCGCACATGGGTACCATGCATCACATCGCACATGGGTACCATGCGTCACATCGCACATGGGTACCATGCATCACATCGCACATGGGTATCATGCATCACATCGCACATGGGTACCATGCATCACATCGCACATGGGTACCATGCATCACATCGCACATGGGTACCATGCATCACATCGCACATGGGTATCATGCATCACATCGCACATGTGTATCATGCATCACATCGCACATGGGTACCATGCATCACATACATAGGTACCATGCATCACATCGCACATGGGTACCATGCATCAAATACATGGGTACCATGCATCACATCGCACAAGGGTATCATGCCTCTTCCACCCTCTTTGCAGCGTCAGTACCTGCTGACGGTGGAGTATTTTGGGAGTTCTTTTACTAGCGGGTGGCAAAAGCAGCCTCTGCGGAATAATCCCGACCTCTCAAAACTCTCTCCTCCTCCATTTCCTCTGCAGCGTCGGTACCTGCTGACAGTGGAGTATATCGGGAGTGCTTTTAGCGGGTGGCAGAAGCAGCCGCTGGGAAACAACCCGCTGCCGTCAGTGCAAGGGGCTCTCGAGGTGGGGGCGAGGAGGTTGAGCGTGTGGGAGTGTGTGTGAGCGTGTGTGTGTGAGCGTGTGGGAGTGTGTGTGAGCGTGTGTGTGTGAGCGTGTGGGAGTGTGTGTGAGCGTGTGTGTGTGAGCGTGTGGGAGTGTGTGTGTGTGGTGCGAACGGCGGATCGTTGTGGTGTGTGTGATTGTTCCAGGGGTGCATTCCAGGGGTGCGTTCCAGGGGTGCATTCTAGGGGTGCATTCCAGGGGTGCATTCCAGGGGTGCGTTCCAGGGGTGCGTTCCAGGGGTGCGTTCCAGGGGTGCGTTCCAGGGGTGCGTTCCAGGGGTGCATTGTAGGGGTGCGTTCCAGGAGTGCATTCTAGGGGTGCATTCCAGTCCAGGGGTGCATGCTCACTGGAACCATGCCTTCGTGGACGGTGCTGTAATTTTGTACCACATGCTTATGCATGAATAGTGTCGCCTTTCGCTCGCTCATGTAGGATTTTTTTTTTTAGTTGATTTAGGTATTCTTGAATCGACTCAAGTCGTTTCCGGGTGCGTTTGCGTGAATGGTAGTACCGTTTACTCACTCCACTACCTCTCGACTCTTTCTTGCCCCACAGGAGGCAATAGGGAAGCTGGTGGGGTCTGTTCCTGCAGGCAGACAGAAGAGGCAGCGAGGAAAAAGCAACAGGAGACCGCAGTCTGAAGCACAGGGGCGTGCAGGCAAGGAGGATGCAAAAGCAGATGCAAAGGCAGACATTGATGCGAATCGACTCGGAGCATCCCGTGCGTCGGATTGCTGTGATGTTGCGGAGGCAGCAGCAGCATCCCGAGGTGACACTGTGGAGGCTCCGCCACCGCCACTCCCTCTGCCTCAAGTCGTCGGCTCCAGCAGAACAGTTACGCTCTTGACTCATGCCCTTGTCTCATGCTTTATTAGGCTGCTCAGAAGTTGTGTTGTCACCTGTGCTGCTTTGTTTTGAGTGCTCTGATGTGTGCGACGGATTGCATGTGCTGATGTGGAGTGGACCAATCAGGATGCGCCTGTCCCGCTTTGGTTCATGCTCGAATCGAGATCATGGATCTTATTGTGCTGCATTCCGTTGGACTGCATGTGCTGATGTGGACCAATCAGGATGCGGGAGTGCACGCATTGGGCAACACGTGCCACGTGGACATTCACCGAGTGAGCCGCCGCTATCCAGGCAAGCAGGTTCGTGTGTGAGGGGCACGGAGGAGCTAAGGGAGAGAAGAGGAGGGGGTGGGGGGAGGGGTGGGGGGAGGGGGATGAAAGAGGTGTAGCGAATTGGGGGGAGGGGAGAAGTGTGTGCGTTCGCGCACACACGTTCTTCACTCCGTGTCCACTCTCAAAGTCCTTCAAATCGTGCAAGATTTTACTCTCTACAGATGCTACTTCATCTTGTTGTACGCTCATGTCCAGCCTTTTCAACATGCGACTTCTAGATGTGCAAGAGGCGCAACGCAAGGTTCTATCTACCCTCCACACGTGTAAAACCAAGGCGCTCAGTTGTTTGTCATGTTCCTTCCTTCTCCACTTGCAATCCTGGTCTCGTCAGGTGCCACCCTGGGTACCAAAGGAGCTCACACGGGCAATCAACCATTTCCTGCAGGTACCGTACCACAACTACCTTACCTGCCAATCACGACTTTTTAGGCGCCTCAAGAAACCACCACAACTACCTGCCAATCACGCGTGTGTGTCCAAATACATACTACCAACCATCCACAGCGTTGAACGATTTCAAGAGCTTTTGAACGGTGTGTCTGTTCTTCTTGAAAGGCGGCAATCTTTTCTCCCTCTCCCTCTCCATGGTCGTTTCTTTCTCTTTCCCAAGAAGAATCGTTCTCTTCTGACCATCCGTTCCCCATTTCGTGCAGCTGTCAGCAGCAGAGGCATCAGTGGTGGCGGCGAAGGAGGTGCCTCTGTCCTTCCACGCCCGATTCCAGGCCTCTGAGCGAACGTGCGTCAGTTATGGGTTGAGGGGGTGGCAGGTGTGGGGAAACGACAGGTGGGAGGGGAGAAGGTGGACGGGAGGAAAGCAGGTGGGTGGCATCAGTGGTGGCAGCGAGGGAGGTGCCTCTTTCCTTCCACTCCAGATTCCAGGCCTCTGAGCGAACGTACGTTAGGGGATGAAGCAGCGGGCGGGGGCGGGTGACGCGGTGGCATGTGGGGGGAAACAATGGGCGGGCGGGAGGGAAGAGAGTAAGGGGAAAAGTGTGTCATGGGGCATCAGTGGTGGCAGCGAGGGAGGTGCCTATGTCCTTCCATGCCCGATTCCAGGCCTCTGAGCGAACGTGCGTCAGTTATGGGTTGAGGAGGGGGTGGCAGGTGGGGGGAAACGACAGGTGGGAGGGGAGAAGGTGGACGGGAGGAAAGCAGGTGGGTGGCATCAGTGGTGGCAGCGAGGGAGGTGCCTCTTTCCTTCCACTCCAGATTCCTGGCCTCTGAGCGAACGTGCGTCAGGGGGTGGCGCGGTTGGGGGAAGGGGAGAGGTGGGGGGATGGGAGGGAGGGGGGAAAGAGGAGTGGGGATTTCCATCCAGGTGCCCCTTTGCCTTTTGCTCTGCATTTTGCTGGGGCCCCTGCCTTTGTTCCTTCTTTCTGCCCCTCTTCTTCTCATCGCCCTTCTGCTTCACACCTTCCCTCCTCCTCTATCCGTCCCCCTTACCCACTCCCCCTCCCATTTTCCTCCGTCCTCCCTCCTGTGCCACGCCATCCGCTCAGCCATCCTCCCCTCATTGTCACTCTCCTCCAATTCTTATTCTCCTCCTCTACTCGCTCCCCCCTCCCTCACCCTCCCCCCCCCCCCCCCCCCACCCCCCAGCTACCTGTACCGCATACATGCATCACTATCCGCCCATCCCTCCATCTTCGATCGCAACCGCATGTGGCACGCGCCTGCCGATTTCGACGTGCATGCCATGCGATATGTGCCTTTTTTCCCCCTCTCCATCCCTCCTCCAGCTATCTGTCCCGCATACATGCGTCACCATCCACCCATTCCTCCATCTTCAATCGCAATCGAGTGTGGCACGGCACGTGCCTTGCCATCTTGACTCACATATGTGCCTTTTTTCCCCCTCTCCATCCCTCCTCCAGCTATCTGTCCCGCATACATGTGTCACCATCCACCCATCCCTCCATCTTCAATCGCAATCGAGTGTGGCACGGCACGTGCCTTGCCATCTTGACTCACATATGTGCCTTTTTTCCCCCTCTCCATCCCTCCTCCAGCTACCTGTCCCGCATACATGCGTCACCATCCACCCATTCCTCCATCTTCAATCGCAATCGAGTGTGGCACGGCACGTGCCTTGCCATCTGGACTCACATATGTGCCCTTTTTTCCCTCACCCTCCCCCCCCCCCCCCCCCCCCCCCCCCCCCCCCCCCCCCCCCGCTCTCCCTCCCTCCCCCCACCCAGCTACCTGTACCGCATACACGCGTCTCCGTCCTTCCATCCCTCCATCTTCGATCGCAACCGCGTGTGGCACGTACCCGCCCATCTGGACGTGCATGCCATGCGCGCTGCAGCAGCTGCTCTCTGCGGCTTCCACGACTTTTCCTCCTTCAGGGCATCAGGCTGCCAGGTGCGGTTCTCCAGACGCACATGTGTGTCTCTGTCTGAGATGCCATGCGCGCTGCAACTGCAACCGCGAGTGCCACGTACCCACCCACCTTGACGTGCATGCCATGCACGCTGCAACCGCGCGCGTGGCACGTGCCTGCCCACCTTGACGTGCATGCCATGCGCGCTGCAGCGGCGGCCCTATGAGGCTTCCACGACTTCTCCTCTTTCAGGGCCTCAGGCTGTCAGGTGCGCTCTGCCATAAGCCAACCCAAAGTTGAATTGAATCAGAGCTATTCGCATGCCAGCGGCTCTATGCGGCTTCCACGACCTCTCCTCCTTCAGGGCGTCCGGCTGTCAGGTGCGCCTGCGGGTGTGCTAATTCGGATCGGAGTTATCATCAAGGTACATACATACATACCATCTCTGAGACCCGTAGGATAGGATATAGTTTTGAGTCGACTCAAAACGTAGGATAGGATCTGCCATGAACGCCCCTCCATGCCATGCGCGCTGCCGCAGCGGCGCTCTGCGGTGCGGCTTCCACGACTTCTCCTCCTTCAGGGCTCGGCCTGCCAGGTAGGCTCGTCTCGTCGTAGGTGCAATTCGGAAAACAATCACAAATACAGTCTTTCATGCCTTGAAGAATACGATCTCAATAATACTCGTCCCTCCAATCCAATCCTCCCCAAACCCCCTTCCCCACGCCACACACACCCACTCTTTCCACCAAGCGCACTCCCCTCCTTGTGCGCTGTGAACCGACTCCCCTTGTGCGCTGTGAACCGACTCCCCTTGTGCGCTGTGAACCGACTCCCCTTGTGCGCTGTGAACCGACTCCCCTTGTGCGCTGTGAACCGACTCCCCTTGTGCGCTGTGAAGTTTGAACCGACTCTCCATTTCTATTATGAATCCAGAAATTCTTCCCAAACCCTCTACCCTACCCTACTCCGCCCCACTCCCCTCCCATTCCTCCCACTCCTCCCACTCCCCCCCCCCCCAGGCGCGCTCCCCTCTGCGTTCCCTCACAGAGCTCTCCATATCTGAGGTGCCCTCCTGGTCCGCCTGCCTGTCGTCCTCCCCAACATCTGACTCTCCCCCACCGCTCCACACCACTCCCCTCCCATCCCTCACTCCTCCCTCCAGGCGCGCTCTCCTCTGCGCTCCCTCACAGGCTCTCCATATCTGAGGTGCCCTGCTGGCCCGCCTGCCTGCCTCTCCAAACCCCCCACCTTCCCCCACCTCCCCCCCACTCCCCGCCACTCCTCCTCCCAGGCGCGCTCTCCTCTGCGCTCGCTCACAGAGCTCTCCATCTTTGAGGTGCCTTCCTGGTCCGCGTGCCTGCCACCCCCCTCCCACCCCTCCTGCAACACCTGGGAAGGGCCTGAGAGAGAGAGGAGCGAGAGCAGGGAGAGGAGGGAGATGACCGTTGGTGATGCCGCTCAGGAGACTGCTGATGCCGCTGCTTGTGATTCGGTTGCGTGCGGGGAGAAACGAGGCAGAGAAGGGGAGGGAATGGGAGGCGGCGGGAGGATAGAGGGGGCGAGTGGCAAGAGGCGGCGTGGGGAAGAGAGAGGAGAGGAGGGGCGAGGAGAAGTGGAGGATAGGGAGGGGAGAGATGAGAGAGAAGGAGGAGAGGGACGAGCAGAGAGAGAAGGGAAGAGTGAGAAAGAGGAGAGGAAAGGAGAGGAAGGGAAGGAAGGGGAGGGAGGGGACGAAGGGGAGGAAGGGAAGGAAGGAAAGGGAAGGGAGGAAAGGGAGGAAGGAGAGGGAGGGGTGGAGGGAGAGGATAAAGGGGAAGGGGTGCAGATGCTGGTGGTGCGGGCGAGGGCCCCCTCGTTCCTGTACCATCAGGTGCGGCTGCTGGTGGGGCTGCTCAAGGCTGTTGGCGCGGGGGCCGTGCACCCTGACACAGGTGAGAGACGCGGGGGTAGAGGGGAGAAGATGGGATGCTAGTTCTAGGAGTGTGGAGTCTGTACCATCAGGTGCGGCTGCTGGTGGGGCTGCTCAAGGCCGTGGGAGCAGGGGCAGTGCATGCCGACACAGGTGAGAAGAGGGGGGAAGTGGGAGGGGGGGGAGATCTTTATTGGTTTACATGTCTGTGCCACCAGGTTCGATCGAGACGCGTTCTCAGATGTGTTTCACTCTTGTCACGTGTTTTGAAACGACGCAAAAGCTTTCATCACACGAATCTGGTTTTGTTTCTATCACGAAATGTGATACCCTTGTTCTGTTTCCTTGTCATTCCACCATGCCCTCTCCCCTCCCCCCCCCTCCGCATTGCCTCCCCTCTTTCGGCAGTCAAGTCCATTCTGGAAGCAAGGGACATCCGGGGAGTGCCGGCCATGGCGCCTGCGTGTGGCCTCTACCTTGCCAGTGTTGCCTACGGCCCCAAGAGTCCCAAACAAGCCTCCTTGCAGGAATGAAGTGCACTAGGAGCTAAAGCAGCCTCACAGCAACGAAATGCCAGAGCTGATTTTGCAGCAACTGGTTACCAAGTAACACCATGTTTACAGGATCTTAATGCAGCATTTGATTAAAAGTATATTTTACACTTGTTTTCAATAGCAATACATGTCAGTGCTGCTTCATACCATTATACGCCGAACATGCTACTGGTACGGTACTTACGTGTGCGCTGAACTAGCAACCCCCCACCCCATGGCTGCCTGCCTGCCCATCCCCTGGGTTGCAGAATTGCAGGGTCGAATCGAGTGGACCAATTATTCAACCACAAATACACCACAACAGGGTCCAGCATCCATGTACAATTCAATGGAACTGAAATCTTTATCTGCCTAGGCAACAAACTCCATAATCTCAATGTATTTCACAAAGCTCACACGCTTGGGGCTTCTGTTACTAGGTGAGCCCGCTTCAGAGCTGCACCTACGGGTACTGGTGGGGGCAGTGAGGCATGGCTTGGCTCGAACTGATTGGTACCTCCCAGCCTCAGCCTCGGCCTGCCTGCTGGTGGGTGCACTGCTGCTGGTGGGTGGAGTGCTGCTGGTGGGTGGAGTGCTGCTGGTGGGTGGAGTGCTGCTGGTGGGTGGAGTGCCTGTGCAGCGGGCCCTACTGCAAGGCAGCGGGGAGCAAGGAGAGGAAGGAGCACTGCTGCTGTTGTAGATTCTTGCCGGACAGGAAGAGGCCGAGGAAGTGGGAGAAAAGGGGGTGCTGCTGCTGGGCCGTGCACTCACTGCACTGGCATTAACTGCAGCCTGTGCTGCTCTCTGTGCTGCCGCTGCCTCGTGAGGTGCTACCACCAGCGAGTCCCGCTCTGCTTGAGGCGCCAGTGTGTATCGGACCATAACAATTGCCGGAGTGGAATACGCTTTACTCCTCGCAAAGGCTCGAGCCGACGTCGTGGTATCATCGATACCGTCTGCACGCTGCTTCCTCGTGCTCTCGTCTGCAGGGAAGCTCGCAGGTTGTAAGAAGAGACTTCTTGTTGTTTCTGCCCGATTTTGGAAGACTGTGGCAGCAGCGGCTGCGTTGGCTTCAAAAGGGGGTTTCTTGGAAAGCGCGAGTTGGTGGCGGCGGCGGCGGAACGCGCAGGCGGCGGGTTTGGCCCCGCGGGGAGGCGAGGGGAGCAAGAGGCGCGTTCCGCAAGCGTCAGAACCGGCGGAAAGCGCACGGCGGTGGGCATTCGTCAGCGCGTCCCCGCGGGGAACGGAGGCGGAACATCCGCCGCGAGGAGCGGACGCGCAGGCGGATGTTGCGCGGGGAGGTTGCGCAGAGCAGCCAGAAAGCACGGGCGGACGAGTCGGCGCAAACGACGCAAACGACGCGAGCGATGCGAGCGTGTCCGACGCGTAAGAGTCCACCCGATGGGTCACGGTGACGAATTCGTCCATGCACGGCTGCTGCTGCTGCTGCTGCTGCTGCTGCTGCTGCTCTTCGCCGCTCCTGTGCGGAGGATGATAGAGATCGCGAAGCTCCACGAGTGAATGACGCGTGGTGGCTCGCGGAGTTGTAGGGGAGTAGGAACGCTGGGGGCGGCTCGCCATTACGCGATGGGATGTAGTATTGCTGCACTCAAAACGCGATAACAGTAGTGGAGGCTTCGGTTGGCGAAATGCTGCGCGGCGGCGAGTAGTAGGAACGGCTTCAAGTGGTACTACTACTGCGGAGTAGTTGGTAACTTGGAAACGAGTTGGATTGATGGGAAGAAACGGCATTCACACGCTGCATTATATGATGACACGATTCACTGCGAGGCTGCGAGTGGAAGCTCCTCTCTCTCTTCTCTCAAGAGTTTCTCGGCGACTCTTGCTTCCTCCAGAGCCACCTCGGTGATCCTGTCCCCCGAGCGATGCGCGCGGCGCTCGCTATTGGAGAAATGGCGATCAATGACGTGGCATGTGAACGCGGTGATGAGCGGACCAGAAGGAGCAGACGAGATACGCCGCCCGCCATAGCGGAAAACTTCAGGCCGAACCTGATAAGTTATTCGCTGGATGCTTTAGGAGATCTAGATGTACGATTGCAAGTGGAAGACTAGCAAATCTCCCGCGAGCATCACCGCCTTCCACGTCGGATCGATATCGTTGGTGTGGTTGTAATGCGATTTAGCACGTGAGCGGATCTAGTGGAAAATCATTTGACGAAATTGTACGATTGCAAGTTGTAGGGAATCTAATGTGCAGATTATTCGCAGTGCCTAGCTCGACGGACGTAAATAATAAATCACGTGAAAGGAAGGGTCTGACGGAAATTGCCGCCATAAGAACGAGTTTGAGGCACGTGATGGGGATCAATACTCTTGATTCGAAACCAAAACCTGATTTGATTGACTCGCAAGGCAAGACGTGAAGAGATCAACCTTCGGCGAGATTTACCGTACTGCACCGTCTTGGAAGCCGTATAATACACTGAAAAAATAAATCGATTTAGACATGCCATGCTACTGGGATGTTTGCAGGTGGCAATTACGGGTATGGATAGATAAAAAGCTACACTTTGTACATTCGCACACTGGTATAGTTGTGTTTCTCCTTTGGAGGTGTACAGCGGGATATGTGGCTCCCGATGTGGTCCCACCAACAGGGATGCGCCGCACGAGTGAGCGACGGCACGCCACCTTAGCAGCTTACGCCTGATGCCAATTGGCCTTTTCCTTATCGCGTGCCGCAACGTCACTGGTTTCCAGCTTTCCAGCGGAGCGAAGTAGTCACCTTCCACCTCCCTATTGGCCACGTCATCACTGTGGGCCTTCTTGTTCCACGTCAGTATATTCTGCTCTGAAACCGATGTTTTTCTTGAGGCATCTAGTGTGCATAAGTCTGAAAAGAGGTGTAAAAGACACTCTTATCTCCAATGACAAACAACACTTATAAGTGGTATCTGCATGTAACGTCCCCCTATATTGACTGCATACTGAGTTAAGTGTTCGACTGGTCCCTAATGGCATAGATAATTCAGGGAGATTACGGAACGCTGGCCTTTCTGATCACGATTACACTGCCGGAATCAAGAATGGCTGACGCGGCGGATCTTTGTCATGATCGCCACGCCACCAACGAACCGCCATGGCTGTCCGATGAGCTTACGCAAGCACAGACAGAGCAAACTCCCTCGCTTTCCTATGCGCCTTCCCCTTGGAGGAGTTTCTTTTATAGAATTTCGGATCAAGTGCAGTGCCCTAGCCATTCAGTCGACGAGTGTGGCATAGCCATAGCTTCCGTTGCAGTAGTTCGTGCAGGTCAGCAGTCAGTCGCTCGGTCATCGTGAGTGACACGCATTGTTGCGTTGCATTTTCGTTACACCTCGTGTCAGGACCCCGCCCAACATCGCGATCATCGGCACCGTCCGACTTGCATCTGCTACATCAACGGTTTTCACGCACCGACGGATTTTCAACTCGACATTCGCTTTCAACCGCCCGATCGACATCGGCAGTATCAACGGCTGACAATCCAAACTCTATGAATTTTGCCTGGTCAACGCGCTCAGCCACGCGTCAACTCAAAAGTCAACGTGCTTCTGCACCGTTAGATCAGTTTCGACCGAGATCTGCAGTCTTCACGCTACTGCGAGACTCGTCTACGGATAAGGGGGGCTTATCTAGAAGGTGGGAGAGTGTAATGATATACAATTCATTACTGCTAAAGCTGCCCTTAGCGAGGACAGCACCGAACACTGCGCGTCAGTTTCAGGTTCGGACCTACATTTCGGCCCGAACCACTACCGAGTCGCCCCGCACCAATCGCGACATCCCCAACCCATGCACGTCACGAGGTTCTCGCCTAGCACGTATTCGCCCTATAAATGCCTGCTTTATTCATTCAATCGTGATTTCTGTAATTCATCCTTTTTATGAAGTCTTTAGCGCACTCTGTTTTAGTACAACTCATAACAAGTGCTGTGATTTCTCTTAACTACAGTGATATGAAGTATTTATGCATGGGTATTACTGTATTGTATATCAAGCGAGCGAGGATTGTACTATCGAGGTAAGAATGGAGGAATGAGCGAAGATTATGTACCAAGATAATGGTAACGGTAATGCGTGGATTTATGTGGTGCTCTACGAACCGCGGGTTACCAGCCGAGGCGTGTGGCTCATGTGCGATGAAGCAAATGGTCGTGAAGGGATGAGTGTTGCGAGACGGTAACCGGCCGAAATGGTTATAGGTGGTATTGTGAGTGGTCGGGCGTTCATGAATGCTTGAGTTTGAAGGTTTGCCAAACCTGGTCGTACAACAAGTGGAAACAAAACAAACACCTAAAAGTAGGCCCTCCACCACGTTGTCAAAAAAAGTCCAGAAAATATTGATATTCGTAGTCCTGCTATTGAAAAAATGTCATAATGAGTTGTCATTGCTGCCGGTCCATCTTTCAATAGAGGGGATCCAAAGGGTAAATATTATTCTAGACAGCACCTACCGTAGATGACCCAAGCAGGTGTGAACGTTCAATATTCATATTTGTTCTGACATGTGAACACGAAGCTCTGCATGACACCTTCAGATTCCACCCTAGGAACTTCGGTGCCTCTGCTTTTATGACCCCTGCTAGGATGACCTTCTTGTACTGCTGGTAATTATGTAATTTGCAGTTTGTTTTTGTGATTTCATTGAATTGAGTTGTGTGTGCATATCCTTTTTCTAGCTGTGGGAAAGGAATACACTAGCCCAGACATCGCAAATGCATAAACCCAACATTGCGTGTGCATTTATGTTTACAAGCCTTGGCTGTAACCAACAAAGCATTCATGTATACACAAGTGCTTATATTTTTAGATGTGTTTGTTCACAGCTTCTCCTGAAGCATCTGTGATTGGTATTATTAGTGATTGGCTGTTTCATTCATGAGTGTAGGATGGTACGGTAGATAGAGATGGGTGTTTCAGTCACGAGCGTAGGATGGTAGATAGAGATGGGTGTTTCATTCACAAGCGTAGGATGGTAGATAGAGATGGGTGTTTCAGTCATGAGCGTAGGATGGTAGATAGAGATGGGTGTTTCATTCATGAGCGTAGGATGGTAGATAGAGATGGGTGTTTCAGTCATGAGGGTAGGATGGTAGATAGAGATGGGTGTTTCAGTCATGAGCGTAGGATGGTAGATAGAGATGGGTGTTTTAGTCATGAGCGTTGGATGGTAGATAGAGATGGGTGTTCCAGTCACAAGCGTAGGATGGTAAACAGACATGGGTGTTTTGCTTTCCTTCAATTTGTAGAGACATGGTCCATACCAAATGCATGAGTATATGGCATACATGCCTTCACATGAAATGCATGAAATGATAGGCATGCCTTCACACCAACGCATGCCTTCACAGCAAATGCACGACTACGTGATATGCATGCAGTCACACCAAATGCATGACCACGTGATATGCATGGAGTCACACCAAATGCATGACTATGTGATATGCATGGAGTCACACCAAATGCATGACTATGTGATATGCATGCAGTCACACCAAATGCATGACTACACGACATGCATCCTGTCACACCAAACGCCTGTCTACTTGTGATATGCTTGTCTTCTCACCAAATGGTTGACCACATGATATGCATGCCATCACACCAAATGCATCCATACATGCCTTCACACTGAATGCATGACTACATGATAGACATGCCTTGACACCACATGCATGAGTGCATGATATGCATGCCTTCACACCAAATGCAGGACTACATAACATTCATTTATGTCGCCACACCAAAAGCATGACTGCATGACGTGCATGTCTTCACACCTAATGCATGTTGACACGCCTTCACACTAAAAGCGTGACTACATATGAAGTGCCTTCACACAAAATGCATGACTGCATACATGATTATCATTGATTGCATACCCACCAAGGGCATGAATACATGATAGGCGTGCCTTTACACGATGGTATGAGTACATGATATGAATGTTTTCATCCCAAACGCATGACTACATGATATGCATGCCTTGAAACCCATTATGACTGCATGACATGCATGCCCTCACACCGCATGCATGCACACCTTCACACCACACGCATGCACTCTTTCACACCAAATTCATGCATACCTTCACATTGAATGCATACCTTCACATTGAATGCATACCTTCACGCCAAATGCATGACACACATCCATGCATGTCTTCTCACCGCATCAGCTGTGTTCTAGAGTCTCCACTTACGAATGTCAAATGATATATCTGCTATATATGTTTAGGCTGTAGTGGGGTAGCCAATATGGGGTACAGCCCCTTTTAGGGTTTCATATTTGTACCCAACTATTTCATAGTTCATTCATTCCTGCTACTAGATTCTAACATGGTATCAGAGCACTAGGTCCGTAGGACCGTCTTTTTTTTCGGGCCCACCTACCGTTGCGGTTACCGTGCTACCCCACATGTTGCCTGCCTGCCTGCCTTGCCTTGTGACGTGCTGCGCTACGCGCGCAGTCCTGCAGCCCTCGCGCTGCCAACTGCTGCCCTAGGCCAGCGCGCCGTCCCTGCAGGCCTGTAAGGCCCGTGCGCCGCGCCTGCAGGCTCGTAAGGCCCGCGCGCCG